CTCTCTCTCTCTCTCTCTCTCTCTCTCTCTCTCTCTCTCTCCTTCTCTATGATTTATGTTAGATTCTCCTTTTAAAACAGAAAACAGGATCTAATAGCACAATATAAGGAGTTTAAAAGTCAAACCTAGGGAAGAAGCCACACCAAGAAGTTTCCGCTAGCGGCAGATAAAGGACTGAGTTACTAGAACATTCTGTCTCTGTGCATAGATGTGGGGCCCCTGACCCTGGGGAGGCTGCTGCTGGGCTCCCACTAGCAGTGCTGTGCCCAGAGTCAGGGTGAGCTCAGTGTAAGGAGGGTCTCCGGTGGAGCAGTAGCCGTGCAAGGAAAGAGCAGCAAATTCAGACCTGGGGTGGGGCTGGGGGTGGGAGTCGGGGAAGGGTGCCAGAAAGGGCCCTAGAAGGTTCCCTCTGTGTCCTTAGCCCCGCCTTAGACGGTCCACTCCCAGATAATCAGAGGGCTCTGGCCCATTCCCCACTCCTGTCCTAAGGGGAAAGAAAGTTCCCTCAGCTTTATCCCGGGCTTTGAGGCAAAGTCCGCATCACAGGGGGTTTTCCAGGCTCACCGGCCGGTTCACTCAGACTTTTCAGCTAGCAACCAAAGCATCAGCTTACAAGCCCTTTTCTGATTGGCTAAAACCTCATCAAAAAGGCCATGCTTTGGACTTCCGCCAGCTGCAGCCCCAGCCCAGCCCTCTCCAGAGTCCTCTGCACTGGCGGATTCCTTGCGTCTTCTACTCAGCGCAACCACCCGTGGGCTGGCGTGAGAGGAAGACGATTTGGGCAGACACTTCGCCCCGCTGTTCCTCACATAAATTGCCCTGCAAGGTTAGGGTAAGGGCGGTGCGAACCTCAAGAGGGTGCTGGGATAAAGAAACTGGCGTTGATGTGAGTGGAGGATGCAGGGCTGTCCTCGGCTCCTTCAGAGCAGAAGACTCTGGGTCCTTCAGAGGACTCCTTGCAGGAAAAGTGAGAAGACATCTGCTCTGGTCAGCATCCCGTGGAGTCTGCTTAGTCGGTGTGGTTAAATGTGAACCTGATGGTCCTCTTGTCACCAGAAGGGCCATCGGGGACTCTTGTGTTCACCTCAGCCACCAAGAAATACATCTCTTGAAGAATTTTGTGGCCTCGGTAATGCCAGTGGTTCTATGGTACACATGCTGCCACTATCACTATTCTCTTTTATAAAAATGTATCAAGCAATTACCTCAGATTTTCTAAATCTTATGAAACATCTTTATGTATTTCTGCTATGTCAACTCTCAGATGAGTTATATTACTTTTCTCATTACACATTGAGAGTAAGCCTTTTGTTTTTATAGAAAGTTTTCTCTTTAAAGTCACATTTTAGAGAAAATAAAGACAAACACCTGAGATAAACCAAGGGAAGAAAGACGTCAAAAGTAGCAGAGTAACTGAGTTAAAAGTCACTTCAACTTGGGAAGACTCCATTAAGAATTCACCCCTCACGGGACCACCTTCATGAATGAAGATATAATTTGTAAAAGTCCCTGCAATCTGTAATGAGCTATGTATACCTTAGTGTCTACTGTAATTCTGAATTCATCTTTTATACATATTTTGCAAACCAAAAATTCTTGGTATTTCTCACCTTGGGTCAGTGATGGCCAA